TGTACGGTAAAAATGAATTTTACAGAAAAAGTTCTGGCGCACTGAGTACCAGTACTTTCAACCGTACTTTAATTCGAAATTTTTGCAGTACAGGTGGATAATGTTAATTTTATCTGTTTTATTATTGTGATAAAGTTTTATTTATAGCACATAAATGATTTTCAAGAAATTCAATCTTGAAAATATTTAAACATTTTGAAATTGATCACAGATTTAACATTTCGATAGCAATACATTATTTAAAAGAATAGTTACATAATTCAGAAAAAAGGTTTCATTTAAATGCTTTGCGTTTGTTTTTTCAAATTGTAGTTCTTATACATTCTCAAAGACGGAAGTGCAAGCAAGAAATATTTATTAAATAAACGGCAGAATTTCGAAGCAATGAATTCCATAATTGAATTTTTAATTTAATTATCACGTCTTTTACCACAGATGACACGCTTAAACTAGAGAAGAATATTCCTATTTGTCAACATAATCGAAATTAATTATTTTCATATGCAAATTCAGCGCTTTCTAAACAACAGACTCGAATTATTGAAAGCTCGTCTGTCATCATTAGACTTATGATTATAAGACTCTGATGAACAGATGGGTGAGATAATGGATCAATGATTTCTAACACCGGTGCTTTTGTGGTGATATCAATGTTAATGACAGATTTCAGAACGTTCGTAATGTATGTTAGCGCCATTTCTAAATATCTAGTTTTCAATTGGAAATCGTAATCTGCGAGTTCAAATGCCCTTGATAAATTATTAATAAATTCATTCTTTTATTTGAGGTTCCCATGTCCTTTGTTCATATTCTATTAGTCTATTTCCATATGAAGTCGGGTTTTCCAGCTTGTCTTCATTCTCGAATGAGCAAGAATAATTTCATTTCATTGAAATATAATTTTACAAATGTTGCCGCTTGAGTGTAGAATTCAGTTATTATACAGATTATTTATTTTATCTAGCTAATGTGCAAATTAACTAGGATGATCCGTTTAACTACCAAAAATTAATTTGATTACTAAAACTGCCTACGTAATTTGATAATTACCTAGATAATCTGCAAATTGCCTACTAAACATTCATTAAAACTAAAATAAGATCTGTTCTGGAAAAATAGGAGCATACAATTGACATATTCTAGGAAAAACAAGCGTAATTTCATTTCTACAGAAGGGGAAATATAATTTTTCAAACCTTACCTAGATAATCTGCAAATTGCCTACTAAACATTCATTAAAACTAAAATAAGATCTGTTCTGGAAAAATAGGAGCATACAATCGACATATTCTAGGAAAAACAAACGTAATTTCATTTCTACAGAAAGGGAAATATAATTTTTCAAACATTGCCCTCAGTGCAGAAATCTGCAATGCTTCAGTGCAGAATGAATATATTATACAGATAACTTATTTTATCAAATCTGCAGATTAACTAATGCGATCCGTTAATTAATGGGTTAATTAATAGGGTGATCCAGCTGTATGATCCGTTATTTGGATAGTGCCAAAAGTAATTTATTTCTCAAACTGCCTACGTAATCTGCAAATTACCTAGATAATCTACTCATTATTGACTAAACACTCGTTAAAGTTGAAATAAAATCTGTGCTGAAAAAATAGGCGCATACAATATATACATTCTCAGATCGACAAAAGCAATTGAATTGCTGCAGAATGTGAAGTATAATTTTAAATATGTTGCCGCTAAAGTGAAAAAATAAATTACTCTACAAATTACTTATTTTTTCTAGATAATGTGCAGATTGACTTGGGTGATCCGTTAAAGTACCAAAAATTATTTCATTTCTTAAACTACCTAAGTAATCTGAAAGTTACCTAGATAATCTGCATATTTTCTTCTAAACATTTTAACAAGTTAAAATAAGATCTGTGAAGGGAAAACGGGAACATACAAATTAAGTTAATGTTATTTATATTTTACTAACGAAAAAAATCAAGTTACTACAATCAGCAAATCACTTGATAGAACCTATAATTAATAAATTTAAAAACATACAAAGAATTAAATTACTTAAAATATTATTACACTTAAAGAATTAATGTATTTATTTTCTGATTTTTTGATACCTAAGAAATCAAGTCAAAACGGTCAGCAAATCAGCGAAAATAATAGAATGAGACCTAAGATTTTCAAAATCCAGAATTTGAAATTTGAAATCATATGAATTACCAATTGAATTCTATATATCTGGTTTTATTAACCGGAATTCTGGAATTTTGAGAATTTTTTTCTTCGTGTGGAAATTACCTACACTATAAAAATTCCGGTTCGAATTACTGTGAAAAGTATCGGCAATCTGGTTGCGAGTATTTTTTTTATTGTAAAATCCACTTTTACCATAAAATTTTCAGCGCAAAAATTAAATACAATGCAATTTTTGCATTAATATTTACTGTAAAATTACTGAATTACCGTAATTAAATAATTATTGTTGTAAAAATTGCTTTAAAAATGGATTTTACGATTATTGCACGCAGGGTGTCAGTAATTTTTACCTCAATTTAGATCCGGAATTTTTTATAGTGTAGCCAAAATGTGGAAGACACTTGATTTCACACTTTAATGTAACAAATCAGTTAACTTTTAGAGTAGCCAAGTAACATGAACTGCTTTCGAGGTTTAGTGATAACATAAACACGAATGTCATTAATTTCTTTTAAGACTCTGACAAAATTACCTATATGACTATATAAATTATAATATACTATGCATCTCATGAAGACCTGATATTTTTTCATTTATTTACTTCATCAGCTATTTTTTAAGATTTGCAACAGCTTATAGGAGACTGGAGGACTATCCCTACCTTATAAAGTCTATTGAAGCACTTTCAAATGCATTTATAAGCATTATTAGTATTTTCAAATGTATTTTAGAATATGAACATCACTAGATGAATATAACATTTTTATTATTTTTTAATGGAATTTGCGAATACTTTTAAGTAGAATTTTCTTTCTGACATTTTCTTTGCCTACTTACTATGGGGAAAAATTTGTTTCTTATATACAAAGAAATTTAATTTTTCTCTGTGTTATAAAACAGAAAACTATAACGAGCAGGAATATTTCCATAAAATCTGTTATGGTAGCATTTAAAATGCTTAAAATTATACATTAAGCATAAAAAAATTATCAATTAAACACAATTTTTTTTTTATCTTACATGTTATCAAAAAATGTAAAGCGTCATTTAAAATTTTAGACAGCTAAACAATTTAAAAATAAAATAAAGCTGAATTCTATTGATCTGACTATAATGACTATTAAAGTCTGCAATAATTCTTAAAATTTACTTATTTGTTTATTGTTTTAAAAATATCTCAATAATGCACACGTTGTTTATTAAAATGAATTTCTAAAAATTCAAATTAAAAAGATTTATGTGACCAATATGGTATTTTTAAAGAGTATGTGACGTTTTTTTCTTCTTTTTTTTTAATATTAATATTTATTGGTCATTTTTTGTACCTTTTTTTTAATAATTTTAAATGATATTTCTGATAACCAACTTTAGAATTTCTCCGGTAATGAAAGATTTTATATAATTAATATTATTATACAAATATTCAGAAAAAAATTAATCATGAAATTATTTAACCAAATTTCATTAAATGTAATTTATGAAATGGCAATTAAAATGACAATCAATTAAATCACTTATCGCGTCATTCATTCAAATGGATTAATTATAAAAAAGGTCATGTTAAAGCCTTTCGATCAAATTAATTAAATTTTTTAAAACTGATTAACAATGTAGAACATTATTTCAAAAGGCTAATTATATAACAGAAACGCTGTTTTAAAACCAAGCACTGACGTATAATATTTTTTTTCTTTTCTAAAACAGATGTTTTTTCTTTTTTAAACTAAGTGGCGGGTACAGAAAATTTCGGTTTCTCCTATAAATTAGAGTTTTCCATTTGATAAAATTCTTTAACGGATACTTTCAATGGTATTTTTTTCTTAAAAGCAGTTTTAATATTATAAGCTAATAATCTCAAATATCTAAAGTTAATTAAAATTCAAAAATACTGCTGCATTGTAATATTTCTGTACAGTAATTCTTAAAGAAGTATTATGAAGTCTGAAACCCCACATCTACATTAATACATATTTAGATAGCTTTTTTTTACATTTTGTCCAGCATTAAAATTTTTAAATGTCAAAAATTTTTTAATCGTTATAAAATTTATTATATATATCTGAAAATTTTTTTTGGTTCGAAGTGCCATTTTTTAAATCAAGTAAGCAAATTTTTTTTATTTATTTCACTGTAAAAAATTCCAGCACAAATTACCAAACCACTGTCAAATAAGCGAATTTTACCCCTGAAGTCAATTTTTCCTCCTAGGTAAATTGGCAAAAGGGAATAAATAAAAACATTTTATAGTTTATTTCTTCCTCTTTGAGATTTATCTACACTGTAAACAGTTCAGATCAAATCACGATAAAAAGTACTGGCACCCAGAGTGTTGTACTTCTAACCATAAAGTCTATTTTTTAATACGAATTTTACGGTAAAATGGATTTTATGGATGATGCAGCCAAAGTGCCTGTGCTTCATATAATAATTTGATCTCGAATTTTTTATAGTGTAGAAGATCTATAATTAAAAAATGTGATAGTATATTGATTGCAGTAATGTGATTGCATAGCGCGTTTGACAATTGCGATTACAATACAGAATGTTGCTTATTTTTAGATACTTCATTATTTATTGATTTATTTTTCACTACTTTCTTACTCTTCTATTAATATTCTATATACTTACTCTTACTATATACTTACTCTTACTATATACTTACTCTTATTATATACCTACTCTTACTATGTACTTACTCTTACTATATACTTACTCTTCTATTAATGTATATATTTTTGTTACAGATACTGGTTGGAAGTAAATAGTAACAAAGGTAAACGTGGTAAAACATACAAAGCTTTGATTTATTAATATCTTTTCTTTTTAAGCAGATTGGAAACGGGCTCGACTCTCCCCATCAGAATCTGCAGCCAGTCCAAAAAGTGATACCAACCGACGAAGACCAGACACGGAAGAGACAACCACCGATTCAGAAGCATATGAAGACGAGGACCGTACCCCCAAAGAACCAGAACCTTCATCTCCTCCTCCAGAAATTAGAAAATCTGAATGGACACCTCAAGAACCCCTGGATTTGCATCACCGAAATGGTGTTCCCTCTCCCGAAAGAAGTCCGACACCAAATAGTGACATCCGAGTCTTCGATGTGCACAAAAAGAAATCACCCATAGACATATTAGCCAGAGTCTTTCCAAGAGAGAACAGAAGTATTCTAAATGTGGTCTTGCAAAGGAATGGTGGGGATGTTCTCCAAGCCATTGATGATCTTTTGAGTACTAAGGAACCTGAACCAGAAAAAACGATTAACGAAACCTCATCAGAGACTGCTAGTCCTAGTGCTTCACCTGTACCACGAGTACCTAGTCCACGACAACCAAATCATATGGGGGAACCAGCACCAATGTCTGGTTTTTCCAGTCCTCATAACTTTTTTCAGTCAGGACATTCATCTACTTTAGGAATGAATACCAGTGGTTTACCTTTCAGGAGGCCATATTCTTCGGCTCCTGGAGCAAGAGGGCTGTTGGCAGTGCCAACTTACTCAGGTTTTTTTCCAGGAATAACCCCGGCATTTAATCCCGGATATCCGAATTTTTTTGGAACAACGATAACGACCAATGCATCACCAGTCCCAGATGAAAATAAAAAGAAATCTAGTGACTGTTGGCCTACTTGTGGTAATCCTTCTCCCCAAGATTTGTCATCGCCCGATACAAAAAGTCCGAATGGTTTCACAGATTAATTGTTTTTTCGTGAACTCAAAAATATAAAACATTATGTTTTCAATGTATATATATGGTATGGCTCTGTTCTCCTTACCAGAAAAATAAAATAATTCCTTATTTTATTAAATTACTTTTGTTCAATTTCTAATCATATCAAAATCATGTGCATTTTAAAAATTTAATTTAAGTATTCCTACTCAAATGTTTCATTTGTACATTATTTCATTTCATTTATATTGAAAATCGAAACATTTATTTTTATGTGTATAGAATTTTAAACTTTATTTGTAATATATCTTCATTAATTGTCTTTCTGAATGGTTTATTTATTTCATCTGTATCATAATGAAAATACTTGATGTTTTTTTTTTTTGTTTCTTATTAAAGAAAGATGCAAATATTTTTTGAATGTTATTAAAATTGATTAAAATTAATTCTTGTTGTTATTTCATTCATAATTCTTTGAAATTTCACATATAAAAATAATCTGGAAGCATTGTAGTACTTAAAAAAAATTTCTGTTAACGTTATATCCTTTACAGCTGTTAAAGCAAGATATGTTGAATATAAAATTTTTATTGCTATCAATTTTCTGTTTTCTATGCTATAACTTGAACTAAACACCTCAAGTTTAAAACAGTATTATTATAAGGAGTTTAAATCTTAGATCTATATGCAAAACAATGCTATATATTATGCATGATAGCTGTTTCAAAACTAATGAATTTAGCAGTTTCTTAGCATTATTTAAAAAACTATTAAATATACAAATAAAATTATTAATAACTATTAAAATCTAATGTTGAATATTATTTTAGATACGTTTTTAAGTTAATAATACTCTTAAAAATCAATGAAAGGTTTTCTTTCAAATAATTATGAGAAAGAGTGTGTGTAAGAGATAAACAGATAACATATTAAACTTTCTTGGATACTGATGTTCAAATTTATAAATGCAAGCAAGGCTGATCTTATAATGCATAAGAAAGTAGGAAAAATATGCTTACATGTTAGACTTATGATATTAAAGGAAAATTAAGTAAAAATATTTAATTGACTGAGAATATACAAAAGCTGATAATGAACAAACAGCTGATGTTTACTAATGAAAGCAATGGTATCCAATTAGATCTCCGTTTGGGGTTAGCATAAATTTTTCTATTCTATACTGTAAAAATTTCTAGTATATAGTTGCCACAAGTTTTGGTGTTAAAGTGAACTGAATACATTTTCACTGTAAAAAAATGGATACTCAAACAACGCGAAATTTTCTTCGTTTTTGACAAAACAGTTTCCTGCTATATCCTCTGAGCAAAAATTTCGTCGAAGAGAAGGATTTAAGGAAGTCATTTCGCGCAATTGAATTCATCTACCAGCCAACACGGCATGATTTAATTTCTGCAATATCAAGTAGCAAAGTTTGCTAGTGCTGATGAAAACTTTTACAAGCAAAGTCATGGTTCACACAAGCATTTTTTAAAAAGTAGTATCGCAATGCATTTTGTGATGCAGAAAATTCAATATAATCATTGCTTTCAACTTACTGCGAAAAAAAAGATTGGATGGTAAAAAATTGAAATTTATCAAACCATCTTGAAGTGGCTAAAAAATCGATAAATAGCTTTCAAAAAATGAGGTGGATTTACGAGGCGAATTGATTACACCAAAAAATAATTTCTCAAGCATGAAATTCATGTGTTATAATAGTATTTGCTTTTAAAATATTGGAAATATAATGATCATGTAAAAATACCGCAAAAACGAAAAATAACTGAAATATCAGCTGAGAAAACAATAAGAAAACATCATGGATTAACAACGGAATAGCAGTAAATCATGCGCATCAAAAAATATTTACTCAAATTCAATTTACGGATTGTGAAACTTTTGAAAATAAATATTCAACTAAAAACTCATTACATAAATCCAAGTTATATAAGAATATCACATGTTAAAATTTAGGTTTATTATAGTAGTAGTTTTACACTGTAAAAAGTTTCGTGTATCTAAGCACCAAGAACGAGGGCAACTACTTCATGCCTAAGTATGTAGTGTTTCATTAAGTGTTCTACGACGCCAAACCCGAGAGTAATTCTTGGTGTAGTGAAACTCCTTGAATGCTCTTTGATACTACTTTGTTAAGTAACCCTCCCCCTTAAGTTTCTTATTCAGTAACACTAAAATGCATAAATATTGTAAGATATGATGCACATAAAAATTAATAAAGTTCATTTTAAAATGCAATTTAAGGCAAGAATTATAAATTTAGGATACATATATATTTATAATATTTCTTAAAATAAAATTGGTTTGTTAATTAAACATACACACATCGAAGACAGTATATAATTATGAATTAAAATGAAACCGACGCGAATAGGACATAAATATTTCAAAATGATTTAATATAATCGACAATTTATGTAAATCCTACGAGAACATAAATATTTTTATAATACGACTAGAAAAAGTCAGGCACTTCCTAACCGTTCATATGAGTTGTCCGACAAATTAATCCGAAAAGAAAACTGAAATTACTTAGTAAATAATTGACTACAATCAATATTCTCAAGCAATCGGAAAAGATGGTTGAAACCTTCTTGATATAAAATATGATATGGCCAGTTTGTCAATTCAATCCGACAAGAAGAAATCGCATTTCACCAGCACACTTCATGTAAACAAACCTCCATTTCGGCCGGTATATCGTCACCATCTTGAAATTGCACAATTATTCGCCTTTAAACTTCTAATAATAGTCCGAAACCATTTGTTATTTAATCATCCAGCTTTATCAATTATAATCTTTAGCAATTATTCTACTCCCCTTGAATTCAGATACGTATTACACCACAGTTTTTACAGAGTAGAGAAAATGTTAATTTTGTGTTAAAGTTTGAAGTTATGAAGTAACTAATCGTCCACCAGAAGTAATAAACTGCTGAAAGAGTTTCTGATCAATCATAAGACTAAGATGGAAAATCATCTTAATTTTTATCAGAACCCGAACTTTATTAAAAAATAAAAATAGAGATGTGTGATTCTGAATCGAAAACCATGTATTAAACTTAAAAAAAAAAAAAAAAAAAAAAAAAAAAAAAAATCAGAGATTTTCATTCAAGACGTTTGAAAACAGGAGTATGAAAACAAATGTGAAACAAATAAAAAATTAAAACAAAAGATTAAGTTCTTTTCAGTAAAAAAAATTAAAACTTAGAATGTATGGAAAGTAAGTACTTTTGTGAAACATTTTTGAAAATTCTCTCGCTTTGGATTATAAATAATTAATTTTGCATGCTGATCTCTAATATATTCTTTCTCATTCTTAATGAAATAACTGCATTTTTTTATTACAACAGAATTTTTACATTCGAATTTACTTAAATTCTGAGGTTAAAAAGTTGGATAAATTAAAATATCAAATAAATTTTTTGAGACTTACAGACTTAATGAACTTTATGACTTTATTTACATGAAAAAATAATGGTTTTAAATTTTCTTTAGCGTAATCTTTCTTAAGCGTATTTATTTGCTGCATTAAACTTATCTGGTTAACGTTTATGAACGCGCCAAATTTGCTTTGGAGAATGATGCAAGAACATGATCATTTTTGTACATGCCGGCTTTGATTCCAATAAATAAAAAATTCTACTAATTTAATTTTTGTTTCACATAAGAAATGAGAACATTTTCTCCTTTTTCCATAGAATTGCGAATATAAAAAGCAAGTTGTGTCAATTTACTTACTGAATTAAAATCCAAAAAATATTATACAAATTATATTCCCATTTAATTTTTTTTTAATTGTCCGTCACCTAATGTAAACCACTTTTATCAGTAAATAACTTTAATAATAACTTTAATAACAAAAACTTTTTTTTGCAATGCTCTTCAAATCTGACGCTATTAATTTCTACGACATTTTAAACTTTTTTCTCGTAGCAAATTGTTTTAATTTGGGAAACAAAAATTTTGCAAAAATGCTTTGGAAAAACATGACATTAAATCAATCAAAACATTGAATCATGACAATTAAAATCAATCTAAAAATTTTGCAAGATGTGTGTTTAAGCGAGTTTTAATGTGTGTTTTATTGCGCACTATAATTTTAATCTTACAAAGAAAGCTCTGTTTTTCCACTTCAATTCATAAAATTAAAAAATATTGTAAAATTCATACTTTCAAATTAAGTTTTTCATTTACAAATATACTAAAGTATGCTTTAAGTTCAATATCTCCTTTCTTTTTAAAGCAAGGAAAAAAAGTAATTAGAAATATCACTTAAAAATCAAATTAAGAATTTACTACCTTGCTTTATAGTTTCCTACTTCACAATTTAGTCAGTTCTCACACAACACCGTATGAAAAGGTTAAATAGTTTGGAGAATATGACAAAATTTTAGGAGAAACTTTGACCGAATTATTCCATTTGTTTATTTTAGACCCATTGCCACATTAGTCCTACTCTCTTCGATTTAGCATGTATGTAACAGGAATTTAAAATGCGAAATTTAAGCATATTTTTAAAAAATTCATTTTAAGTGAATATTATAAACTTTAAGAGAGAAAAAAAAAGAGGTATTTTGTGACAAGAAAAAAAAACAACAACAACGAATTATTTTAAAGCATTCATGGGGGTTTGTGAGTAGGAAGAAACACGGGTCTTTACCTACTAATACTGTGTATTCATTATATACTTTATTCAATTATCTTTGGGAAAGGCAGGAAATCATTTTAAAAGAACATTGTAATATTTAATTCAAAATGAAACAGGATATTGAAATTAAAATACTAAAATAAGAATAAATAAATAATAAAATAATAAATAAATAATAATTACTAAAATAATAAATGATTAATGAAATAATAAATAAATAATAAAATTATAAATAAGTAATAAAATAATAGAGAAGTAATCAATAATAAAATAAGAATAAATTATTTTTAAAATAACTTATTTTTATTGATGTTGTTTGTTCGAGTGCAAAAATACTACTACCACCATTTTCCCCTTACTCTATGAAAATGGTCTTCAGAATAGAAGAAAAATGATAAGGAATATTTTCTCAAATAGATCGAAAAAAAGAGAAGGAAAAAAAAGGCAAAGGAAGAGAAGGAAAAACTTCTTTTTCTGGTTATTTTCAGTATTGATATAATATAAATTTGATAAATAATACAATATCTATTTCCTTTCAATTTTAAAAAGCTCATTGGCTGTGTAATCCGCTTCCTGAAATACAGCCTAACGTGCGCAATGGGCCATCTTAGCTTCTTTTCA